CCTCCTCCTCCTCCCCCCCCCCCCCTCCCCCTCCTCCACCTCCTCCTCCTCCTCCTCCTCCCTCCTCCTCCTCCTCCTCCTCCTCCTCCTCCTCCTCCTCCTCCTCCTCCTCCTCCTTCTCGCCGTGGTCGACGAGGGACCCCCTCCGAGCGGTTGGGCGCTGCCTCGTGCACCTTTCGTGCCCCTCTTGGGCCCCAGGGGGACGCCTAAGGGTGCCCTTGAGGGCACAGGAGGTCCGCCTTCCTCCACCCCGCCCCCCCCCGTTTACCTTTAAGTCAGGCGTGTCCCCCTAAAGGGGATTCAGGGCAAAAAATAAACAATACTCAAAGCATAACCCGAAATGGCAACAAATATTCAAAAACAAATCCCCATCCAACAAGCAGTGCCGTGCCCGGGCCACGGCGGCCGTCCGGTGCCCTGGCTGCGAGGCGGGGCTGGGCCGAGACACGACTCGGGCGGGTGGCAACGGAGGCGACCTGAATCGGGGGTGAAGACAAGGGCCCCTTTAGTGGGGCGCCCCTCATCTAGGTCAACCCCCATGACCACCCGCCCGAACGACTACGGCGGGTTCGTGTCGTGACGTCCCCGGCGTCACTCTCTAACGCCGCGCGGATCTTCAACCTTGACCATTTCGCGGATTGCCGCTCGCCAGATCGTTACAAAGTGGCCGAATCGAAGCTACTGGCGGCGTTCAACCTTGAGCGCCCGCGGCGCGGTCGCTGCCGCGTCGGTACGACGCGAACCTACCGTACCAGGGCCAGCTGAGTTCGCGCTTCGCGCTGCGCGAAGAGCAAGCGACTTCGCGCTCTCGCGGACCCCCCCGGGGGACAAGCCAGGAAGAAGAAGAAGATTATGATGATGCTTTATGATGATGCTGATGATGCTGCTGATGATGCTGCTGCTGATAATGATGCTGATGATGCTGATGATGATGCTGATGATGATCATCATCATGGTCATGGTCATGGTCATGGTGATGGTGATGGTGATGCAAATGGTGATGCTGATGATGCTGATGATGAAAATGATGATGATGATGATGATGATGATGATGATGATGATGATGATGATGATGATGCTGATGCTGATGCTGATGCTGGTGCTGGTGATGATGATGATGATGATGAGGAGGAGGAGGAGGAGGAGGAGGAGGAGGATGGGGGAGGAGGAGGAGGAAAAGGAAGAGGAAACGGAGGAAGAGGAGGACTGAGGATTGGAGCAGACCGCGAACCGTACAGCGCGAATGATTTCGCGCCCTCGTGGCAAGCTTGGGACTATACAAGGTGACCCTAAACTGCTTGTCGGGTCACGGTTTCGGACTCGGCTGCTTAGCTGTGGCCGAACTGCCACTTGCTCATCAGACCTGGCCCGGCCCGCCACCTGGTCCGTCGAGCCCGGCCGCCCCGCGAGCTGGCTTGCCAAAGCTTCAGAGCACGGACGAAACTGACACGCCCTGCTCGCGTCGGGAACTCCGCCGCGGACGGGCCTCTCGCCTGCGCAGCCTGCGGACTCTGGGCTGGTGCCCGGAATGGCACTGCCTGCATGAAGGGGGAACGTTAGGGGGGCCGGTTCACGGGGGAGCATCGAACTGGCATCGCCGACACATTGCCGATGGATCTGCCGTACATCGGCCCAATGAAAACTCTTTGAATTTTCTGATGGCGCTCGCCGCGCGGAAGGCGGCAGAAGTATTGCGAAGGCGGCGGAAGCCGGCGATGGTAACAGTGCGCCTTCCGAACCCTTGCCCCCCGTAGAAGCCTAGCAAGGTAGTCTTCCTTCCTGGGTCGGGCGGAATCCCGCCGACCTTTGCCCATCTTAACTCATATTATGAATTTTATTCAGCCAGGTCAAAATCCCACCCACTAAAAATATGGTAAAACAAAATCCTGGGCCCTTGAGGGACCCCGCCGTGTTGGGATCGGCTGGACGCAAGCTGGGGTTCATACGTTCACGGGCTCCTGCTGTGGTAGGCCCGTCCTGATACCGTCTTCAAGCGATGCGCGCGCCGTCCTGTCGCCGCGGACCCCTCGTCAGGGCCCTCTCGAAGCCATTCTGGGCCGTCTCGAGATCGACTGCGCATGACAGCCCACCGCGTCGACTTTGCGAACGGCACTGGGTGCAGGATTGCAAACAAAACCCAGGATTGCAAAAAACGAAGGATTGCAAAAAAACCCAGGATTGCAAAAAAACCTGGGTTTTTTTTGCAATCCTGGGTTTTTTTGCAATCCTGTTTTTTTTTTTGCAATCCTTGGAGTTGTCGCCAGGTCGCTTTCAGAGCGCACTCGCGCCGTGTTCGAACTGCGCGGGCGCCGCTCCGCCAGTTCTGGAGCCGCCCTCGACGTGCCCGGGTCCGTCTTCTGGCCTCGGGGCCGTCGCGGCATTGCCCGCTGCTCATCCGACGGGTGATCGCATGGGCGTCCTGAGACTCTCAACATTAGGGGGAAAACAAACCTACCTCGCTTTTGACCACCCTCGCTTCCAAGAGATACCAAACGATGCCAAATTGCAGCCTGTACTGGTCAGGCCGCTTGACGAGGAGGCGCGTGGTATGGCTTGGTTTTGCCTGGAAGCGAAAGCGGGGTAGGTAATTCACGCTCTGAAACATGCCCTGTCGGGATCATGTTGGGCCACGGCGTCACCTCAGGCTCGCTTGGAGGTCGTCGTCGGTGGCCTGGGGCCCCAGTGATACTACTTTGGGGCTAGGAGGTCACGCGGTCACTGCCTGCACCGGCGCATACTTCCCCGTGAGACGTTCCAAGGAAACTTCTGTTGGAGCCAAGGAGGTCCCCGATCGCAGATTCCGCACGCTCTTCCGCGGGGCGGGCCATCGGGCCCCCGTCGGCGATGAGAGGGCGACAAGGGGCCGAGGCACCCTCCCTGAGCCTGTCCCCCGCTTAACGTCGGCTGCACGCAAGAGTGACCCTGGGTAAGAGTGACCTTTGGTGCGCGGCTTTTTGGGGACCGCGGGGGGACCAAACACAAGCGCGCAAGACGGTACTATCGCACCGCAATCGGTGCTCGGGGGACCCCACTGTGCCCGCACCCAAGGTCACTCCGGCGAAAGGTCACTCTTACGTGTAGCCGCTCAACGTTGCCCCCGATAACTTCCTGAAGCCCCAAATGGCGCGCCCGCATGCCGGGCCAATGCCCACAGCCGCACCCCTTCGCCGGCCTCGCCTCCACGCCTGGCAGGTGCCTATGCCCTGGACTTGCCACTGCACGCTCCGTCGGCCGTCCGCTAAGGGGGTGGGGGGGGGAAATGAAGTGAGCATCGTTTTGCGGATCCCTATCCCCGCTGGCATCCCTGGCCCCGCTGCCCGACTTGCCCGCTCGAGCGGGGACATCTGCTGGCCTCCCAGGGCCTATCCCTACGCTCCCGTGGTGGTGAGCTGGTGGGGCCGAGACATCATGGCCCAGGTGGACGGGGATCGGTGAATCGGGCGGTGCTGAGGAACGGGTGCAGAGAAACGAGCGCGCACAACTCCAGCACCTCCTGGGCCCGCGGCTGCGGTCCGGGGGCCTTGGGCGTGGCTTAGTGGGGGGGTCACAAATGGGGGGGTCAGAAAAGGTCCCCTCTCGTGCCCCTTTCGGGCCCCTCCAGAGCCCCAGGGGGCTCGTTTAGGTACCATTTGGGTACCTTGTCGGACCACGCTCGCCGCCCCCCCCCTTATGATCCCCCATTACGCAGCGCCCAAGGGCCGCCGAGGGCCCCCACTCCGGGGGGCACACACCACCTGCAACCCTCGATGACCCCCTCCGGGCGCTGCCCTCCCCCGCTGCCCGGCGCCCAACTCTGGAGGGAGCCGTGAGCGCTGGCCATCCTCTCGTCCCGTGGCGAAGCCTCGCAGCCTTCGTCGTCTTCTCCTCCCCTCTTCTTCGCCACTGCTTCAAAGCCCCCAAAGACTGGCAGTTTTATCTGGAGTGGCTGTGGCTGAATATCTTCGGATACTCTGTGAAACTAGCGCTGTCGCTTCGGACGCGGCCCCTCGGACTGCGCAACCAGGCCGTGTACAATTGAGAGCTATGGCTTCCGCTGTGAAGCCTCGCAGCCTCGCCGCACTCCATGTTCGTGGTTTCCTTCCGCGGGAGCTCGGTCGGCGGTTCCCCAAGTTAGGGGGGAGAGCCTGCGGTTCTCGCATGCCGCCCTTAGGGGTAGCTTCAGTCCCAACAGGCCGCCCTCCTCCTTGACCCGAGGATCATTCGAAGGGAGGAGGGAGAATCGGAAGAAGAGAGAGCGAGGAGGACGAAGAAACGTCCACAGAGGAGGCCTGGCTCCTGGCCACCCGGGGGAGCAGTGCCACAAGGCAGCTCTAGCAACAACACTCCGAGTATCTCCAAGGCCTGCTGGAGCCCCGGGTCACGGCAAAGCTGCCCGCCTGGCAGACCCGACTGCGATGCCTGCCACGCCTTCGCCACCTCGCTCACCTGGGCCGCTGGCAGAGCTGGACGGCCAGCCGATCGGCCTCGTCCGGCGCGCCCTCTGGCTGTGACCATGCTGCGATGGTGACGACACCAGCGCCATCTGCTGGGACTTGTCCTCGGGCGAGCCTGCCCCCAGCTCGATCTCCTCCGCTGTGCGGCGCCTCGCCTTGGCCCTGGCCCTGCCGCGGCGCCCTCGGCGGAACGACGCCTGCGCCGCCCTGCCGACGGCAAGACTGCCTCTCCGGCCATGCTCGCCAAGAGCACGCGCGGAGCCATGGCTATCTGCCATGACGCGCCCGAATTGACGAGGAGGATCGCTGCCTTCCGCACACCTGCTACCCTGGGCCTCTGGCAAGCTGGAGCCCTGGGCGAGACTCGCTCGAGCGCAGTCTGTCTATCGGCCGTGGCTTGAGCAAGCATGTGTCAGATGAATTACAAACGGCATAAACATGGATTCTCTGAGGTCCACGCGGACTTCTTGGATCGGCGCTGGATCCCACTCCCTGGCGCGCTGGGCGGCGCGGCCAGGGGGGCCCAGTGCCGATTCCAAGACACCCGCGCAGACCTCACGGACATCGTGCACATGCCGTTCTCTGTGATTCGGGAATGTAACCAGCCTCGAACTTATCCCTATCCCTAAGATGGGCGAGCAAACAATGAGGACAATCTGAGGGATGTGCACTCAGAAGCTGCGGAAATCCTTGAGACCGGCATCGGGGCGAGGTGATGCCAACACACAGGGATCGGGGTATGTTTCAAACTGGTCAGAACGGGTGTGGATGCCCCTTGCCCTGCTCCTCCTCCGGGGCCAGTTGGCGGGATGCAAATGGGGGGATAAGTCCAGATGGGGAGAGGCGCAACCGAGGTACAAGTGGTACCTACGCCCCACGGAGAAGGTACAAGTTGTACCGACGCCACGCAGACAAGGTACACATTGTACTTTTGACAACGTCCGCGACATGTGCGAGGATGTTAACGGGGGGGGAAAAGGTACCATTTGTACTTGCAACCCGCAGAGACGGTACAACTTGTACCCCAACAAAACGGTACCGGATACTCATCCCCCATGTCCTGATCCCCCCATCGCCATCCGGCCGAGCCAGTCCTGACCCCCCCCCCCCCGGGCAGCGCAGCACGCCCCGGGGTCGCCGGCCTCCAGCGCCTCCTGCAGCCGCCGCTGGCCGGGGCGCCCCGCGGCTGCCTCCCCCGGCGCCCCCGCGGCGCGGCCCTGCAGGGGGCAGAGGCACGGCGCTGGCACGCGTGCTGCTGCTGAAGGCCCTGCTCGTGCTGCTGCGATGCGGCTGCTCTGCCAGCCGATGGCGATGCTGCTGGCCATCCTCCTCGTCCTCATCCTGCCCGTTATCTTACATGCCTGCTTCTCCACATCATGCCCTCCGCTTCAGGCCTTCTGGCCTAGGTGTGCGCGCAACTATGGTACAGAGTCGCTGACCTTCAATGGAGACACTACAGGGGCGCGCGTCATATCCATGTACGAAGACACATGACAGGTACACACAAACGGCTAAGTAAACGAACATGCAACAACAAACATCGGACAACAACTGCCAAGACCGAACTTTAACCAATAAGGATAATGGCGATGGGGAATGCGATGCGTGTCGGTTCCACACGTATCCCAATGGGAGATCAACGGCCTTGGTGCAAATGGCCTCATGGCATGATTAGCTGAGCAGCACAAGATCTCACTGAAGACTATGCAATGCTGTGCTATCTAGCTCTATATATAGACGATCCGTCGGGAGAGAAAGAGATTGGGGGTTGGGTTTGGGGGGACGGGTACAATTGTCAGTTTTGATTTGGCGTCTGATCGGGTTCGCAGTCTGCCTCTCTTATCTACCGACCTCGCTACTTACCCGTCGATCTCACTGCCTATACATATATAATTTTAAATATATGCACAATACAGACCTCCAAATCCATGTATACACATATATATATATATATATATATATATATATTTATTTATATATATCGATCCCCCGACCTATGCTTCATGATCGCTCGCCTGGATCCTATATACTTAGCCCTGTCTACCGGTCTCACTATCTACCTACTGACCCCGATATTATTCTGTCGATCGGCCTCTCTATCACTGATCTCACTGTATATGTATATTCATATATAGCAGTCTTGTCCGGGTGACTTTCCTCCTTACAGCAACCATATGGTATGCATGTGAATTTCAACTGCGATTAGATCGCCATTGGGCTTGAATTGCGATTTGCGTGAATATTCGGGCCGATTCGCATTTCGGCTTGCTGGCCGATCTCTATACCAAGTTGCTGAATGGTTTGTATGTCAGTCTACGTCCCGATTGAACTCTCAATGTGTGCTCGATGTGTTGTTCGACTTGAATGTCGATTGACCTCGACTCGCAATTCCACATGCATTTCGATGAGCATGGTGATGTGCACATCGATGTGCAACTCGAATACTCTTCGACTTGTTTTTCGATGTGATGCCCGATTCTCGAATCGATCGAAACTGGATGAGCACTTTGCTGAGCCTTCCGACGGCCACTAGATTTGAATTTCGAGTTGCATGTCCCACGGGACAACTGACGCGACAACCCGCGGGGTAATCCACGGGACAACCCGCGGGACAACCCACACCGACGGCTCCGGGGAAATGCCAGTCGCTCGACCATAAGAATAGCAACTCTTACACCTCACACTGGGCGGGCTCGGACACGACATTGTTGGACGGGTGTTGCGCGCAGTGCGGTGACCACTGCTCTGGCTGGACCTACGTGTACAACGGCGATCATGGAGGAGCGGGCGGGCGGGCGCGGGCGACGCTCAGCAGTACCCCAGCGACACCCCAGGACAACGCCAGAAAAATTGCGGGACAACCAACGGAGTTCGCACGGGACATCCCACAATAAGACCACGGAACAGCCTTTTTGATTTGATCCTGGCAATGCCAAACTGTACAATCACTTGGGCCCCTGGCGAGACGGGGGCCGAATTTGTTGCCCGACTTGGGCCTGGCCTTGGCCTCACATCATCACCCTCGCGCAGCTTCGCCTCGCCCGCACGCTCGCCACGAACCGAAACTGTTTCTGCAGTTGCGGCCTCTCCGTTCACACCCCCAAGCGCCGACCCAAGAACCCGTGGAATTTCGAAAGCCATGCTTACATGTATGTCGACCCGACATAGAGATTACAAATCCCTGCATCTGGCACGTGGGCGCCGGCCTCGATCCGCCGCGAGAGATCCACGACACACTACACCGAGGCGAACAGATATGCTTCGACCATCTGCGAGTAGGCAGAGCGCGAGCAATGGAGCGCGCTCGGTGAGGACGCGCCCCCCAGAGCTATGACTCCAATGCCGCGTTCCCCGGCGACGGTGCGCGCCGACCTCACGGCACCGGTCGCGCCTTGGTCCACCTCTGCGTTCCCTCGGCTTGCCATCGCTCGGATGCCCCTTCCGAGTGCACTGTGTGGCTTCGCCTTGCTTGTCCTCTCAGGATGGTCAAAGATGCTGCAAGATGGCCCCAAATGTCTGGCGCTGGCCTCGCCGCGAAAAACGCACACGTCCGAGAGATGCCAACGCCGACAAGAACTCCGGCCCGCGCCGCCGCTGCGGCGGAAGACGCCGCCGCCCGAGCCGAAGCCCCCCGACCGACGAGGCGTGGGCGATCGAATGCCGCTGCTCCCCCCCCCTGGAGCCAGCCACCTCTCCCCGCCGCTGGCGCCCCCGACTCGAGAGCCTCCCCCCCCCCGTCGGCTCTGGCGCGGGAGCGGGGCCCGCCGCGGAACCACGCGCCGCGGCAGCGGCCCGGCGCGCGCAGGGCTGGCTGCGCACCAGCTGCCGATGGACCGAGCCGCGTCGCGCCCAGCTCCGCGCGCGCCGCGCGCCCCGCGGAGCGCCACCGCCGCCGCGCCCTCGCGCGCCCCCCCGCCGCCCCCTCGGAGAAGGGCAGCCGCTCTGGCACGGGCCGCGGCGCGCGACGCGCAAGTGCGACCCGTGCGTGGCGCCCCCCTCTCCTCGGCCCTCGGGGGGGAGGCACGCCCTTCGTGGGCCCTGGACACGGCAGGGCCGTTTTTTTTTACCGTTTTCGAAAACGTGCCTCTTGAAAATGACAACGGCTAAACAACGGCGACTGAAAGCGGTGACAAAAACGGCAATGGAAGCGATGCAAGAACGGCAACGACAACGGCATCCGACGAGGGCGGGAACGGCAAAAAAAACGGCGGCCCGAAACGGCAAACAAAAACTGCAACTGGTGGTATGCTTTGCTCCACGCCGCACGCCCACGACCCCAGCCTCTTCGGCTCGAGGCGCCGGCGCCGCGCCGCCGCGCCGCCGCGGCGGCGGCGCGAGCCCCGCGGCGCCCGGCTCTCCCGAGGTGGGGGGTCGGGAGGATCGGGCGGGTGGCCATGTGCGCCACGGAAATCTACTCGGGGACGCCCTCCGACGAGCTCGGCATGTACCTTCGGGGAGGGCGGCGGTGTACAAAGTCGCCAGCTCCCAGTGGTGCTTTGCACACCTCCACCCTCCCCGGAGGCCCAAGAACAACCCATTGCAGGGTGTCTGAGTCTACACTCTTGTGGCAGATCATGGGGGGCGACCTACCGGGGGGGTGAGGCAAAGGGGGCTGAAAAAGGGCCCTTTTGGGGCCAGCAGGGGCCGGCAAAGGGCTCCAACAAGGCCCCCTTTACTTTTGGGGCCAGCAGAGGCCCGCAAAGGGGCTCCTAAATGGCCCCCATGGGGCCCCCTTTGGGCCACCTCTCTTCACCACCCACCTGGAATCGGGGATGGACAGAACCCCCTTTAGCAAAACGTGGTTTAGTGAAAACGACCTCGGCCAAACCCGGCGGGCGCAAGCCTGGAAAATGATGGCCGCGGCGCCCTCTCGGGAACCGGAAACGGACAAGTCACTCATCGACGTGTCAAGGTGGGGGCTCTGTCCACCCCCGACGGAAGGGGTGCCGATGCCGCTGCTCGCCGTAGCTCTCCCTGGTCGGGGGTCCTCTGACCCGGGTCAATCCAGACCCGGGTCAGTCAGGCCTTGCAGAATCCTGCAACATCCTGCCAGATCCTACACCCAAACCCGGGTCCATGCGAAGGATCCTGCGAGATCCTGCAGGACCCTGCACCCAAGCCCGGGTCAATGCGACCCATGGCCCTGCAGATTCCTGCAAGGTCGGGGCGCTCTGGCTGACCCCCGTTTGCGTTGATCGGGCCGGGCGAAAGGGGGGGATAGCAAAGGGGGGGTTTGAGAATCAGCTCGCGTAGCTGCTTTCCCCGGCGCCTACCGGCGCCGGAGGCGGCGATGTATCGAGGAATGGGCCCCTCGGTGGGGCCGAAACCAGCTGCATGCAGCAAATTTCGTAACCCCCTCTTTCCCAATCCCCCCCTTTCGCCCGACCCGATCCATGCGAAGGATCCTGCGAGATCCTGCAGGACCCTGCACCCAAGCCCGGGCCAGTGCGACCCTGGCCCTGCAGAATCCTGCAAGGCCGGGGCGCTCTGGCTGACCCCCGCTTGCGTGGACTTGGGCGCCCGAGTCATCCGGGGTAACTCGGGCCCGGGGTAACTCGGGCTTGGATCCCCGAAAAACGAACCCGAGTTATCCCTGACCCGACCCAGACCCCCGACGTCATGATTTTTTCATGACGCGACCCCCAGAGGTCCGGACCCATTCCCCGGGACCGGTTCTTCATCCTGAGTCGTTTTTTGACGGTCCCGAGGCCCGGCGAGGGCCCCCAGAGGCCGAAAATGGCGAAAAACCTCCCGTCATGATTTTTTCATTACTCGAGGGGGTCTGGGTCTCGAGGCTCCCGACCTGGGCGCCTCCCGACCGACCCGGCTCTCGAGGCGCGCCCCGCCGTGGCGGCGAGGGCTCCCCGGGACGAGCCGCGGCACCCGCGCGCCCGCGGCTCGGGGCGCCCCCGCCGCGGCGGCCGGCCCTGCCCGTTGCGAAGGGGCCCTGGGACACACAGATAAATACACCCTGCGAAATGCTTAAGAAATCATGGGTTAAGAAATTCATAGTCTCAGAAATTGAATAAAAACCCAACATTTCCATTAAACTCTTTGGATTTTCATTGGAAAATTAAAAATAATCGAGACTCTGGCCGAAAACGTAAGTTTTCTTAAGCATCGCCTAAGGTGTACACACAAAGAAAATGGTTCCCCATCTTCTCCCATATCTTCTGGGTTTCTGTCTTCCCCCCCCCACTTCCCATATGCTCATCCTATTTTCCTGGGGCTCGACGATTCATTGTGTCTGTGAGTTGTTTCCCCTCCTGACGTTGGGAGGCAGCTCCGGGGAGGTCGCGGTTAGAACGATGGCAGCAGGAGCTCGGTCACAAGAAAACGTCCACAAGAAACGCAACCCTGAGACCCCAGGGCGTCCGTTGTTTTTTTGGTGTGGGAGCGTCACGCTTTCCATAGTTAGCAAGACCATCGGAATCCGAGAAGCTCAGAGCGCCCTGGAGGCAAGCAGGGTGTTTCTGGGCATGAGCTTCCACTGCAAGCCAGGGTAAGCTTGGGGCTACCCGGATCCAGTGGGATCAGGCTGGGCTGAGCGGGACTGCGCCAGATCACCAGGCCAGGTCCCGACCAGGGGTCCACCCGCGCCGCTTCTGAACCTGCGACCTCCCAGGAGTGGCGTCCTGAAGATCCCGCCCGTCGCCGCGCCGCGCGGCCGATCCCGCCTGCAGGCTCGCGGCCGCCTCCAGGGGCGCCCGCGGCGGCGCCCCGGCCGCCAGCGGCGCCGCCGGGTCCAGTCCGAAGGCGACGCGCACGCGGACGCACCGCGATCCGATCGCCACGTGCACCTCGCCGCCGCACGCCGGCGAGGCGCGCGGGGTGCCTCCTCGGCCCTCCCCCACGGCTCGCCGTCCCCTGGGGGCCCCCACGCCATACCCCCGCCCACCATGGGTTCCTGGGAATCGAATGGGAGGCGTGGGTGGGACTCGGATCTCGCCACGTGTTCGACTGGCTCCGAACCCTGCCCCCGCCGCCCCTCGAGTGGCGTTGCCTGCACCGTGGACCGGCAGGGGCAGGGTTCGGACCTCGCCGCCGAGTGGAGGGGCACTCCCTCTCCCCCCAGATTTCCAAGGCTGGCACGCGCGGGGCAGGCTGCGGTCGATTTGCAACTCGTCAGAGCCACCGCCAACTTTGACTTGATCATGTAGGGAGCCCACAAAGGACGTACGCGCCCAGCTATGTACATGAACACGGACCCTCGATTCGCGAAACCGGCCGCCTTATACGAACATTTGTGAAATGCGCGCTCTCGAAAACAGCGTGGATTCATGTACATGTACGTCCTTCTTTCGCTCCTGATCATGGGGGGGGAAGGGGACAGGCCGTGCGGTGACCTCGGGGATCCCGAGGGAGAGGAGCCACCAACGACATGAGCATGAACGCTTGGAGATCCGCGCGGATTTCTCGGCTATCTGCGGTGGGCCGCGCCTCCCTGACGCGCGGAGCGCGCCGAAGAGTGGCGGCCGGAGGCTCTCCGCCAACGGGGCCGGACGCCGATGCGAGAAATCCGCGCGAAGCTCTGGACATGCATGTTTGAAGGGGCGCCAGGACACACAAATAAATACACACAAATAAAAGGATTCCCCATATTTTCCTATATTTTCTGGGTTTCTGTCTTCCCCCCCACTTCCCATAGTTTCCCATATTTTCCTGGGGGTCGACGATTAATTGTGTCTGTATGTTTTCTTCCCTCCTGAATGTTTACGCCGCTCTCTTCACCCTGGAATTTTCCAGGAGACCGCACATCGCGGCCCGACACCACACGGTCTTGGGGCCCCTGGAGGACCCGGCCGCCCGAGACGTCCTCGGAGAACCAGCCGAATCCCAGAACCGCTGGCCCCTCTGCTCGTCCTCGCCCGCCCGCCCGCCCGCCTGCTCTACCGCTGGCTCCCGCGCCGATCTTCCTACCTCGGGGGCGCGCAAACATGGCCAGGCGATCCACGGACTTGGCGCGCGGTCGCCAAATCCATGGAGCGGGGGAGGCGCCCTCCCGAGAATGCGGCTGGTGCCGCCTCGCTCGGCGGCGACCGCCCGCGAGCTCCCGTGGCAGCGGGGCCCGTCGCTGATCCACGCCCCCTGGAGTCATGTCTGCGATCGCCCGATGCTCTGCCGCTGCGTCCCGTGCCGATCTTCCTGGCCCCCCCCCACCACCACCTGGCGGCCCCCTCCTTGCCTCCGCGGGTCTCCCCCGCTCTCCCCCCCGGGCTCTGCCTTCCCCCCTCCCTCTGGTGCCCCCCCGCGCTGGCACCGCTGGCCTGCCTCGACGAAAAGCTGGAGCGGCCGCCCCCCCCCCTCTTCTGCTCTGTGCTCATCCTCGGCACCCCCGTCGTCTTTTTCCTGTTCCTCCTCCTCCTCCTCCTCCTCCTCCTCCTCCTCCTCCTGTGCTTCCTCCGCTTCCTCCGAGGTCTCCTTCCCGCCGTCCCCCCTCCCCTCTCCCAATCTCCTCCTCCCCCATCTTGGATAGGTAGATTGGCGCATCGCCTTGCCCGCCGCCGAGCTTGCAGGGCGGCAGGCTTCCGACCATACCCTCGTGGCCGAAAAACCGAGCGGTGGCACACCGTGCGGTGACCCTCGAAATTTGTGGAAGAGGCCCCAGTTGCCCGAGACCTCACCGCACGGTTTTGTTCGATCTCGGAGGCCCCCGTTGCCCGAGACGTGCTCGGAGAACGACCCAGGGCCCAAAGCCATGCCGGTCACCCCGAACCCCCACTGACCCACCGCACGTCGTGATCACCGCACCGTTTGGGGTCCCCCGGTCGCCCTCCTATCCGGTCCCCCGGCCTCGCACTTCGCCCCCGGCCTCCCGCCGGAGGGCCTCGTGCTGCGCCAGCGGCGGCCCAGCCCGCACCTCCAAAGGGGGAGAGGCGTCTGCCGCGGGGCTGACGCGGCCCCAGAGGTCTCGCACTCCGCCTCGTCCTCCCGCTCGTCCTCCCGCCGCCCTCGGGCTCATCCTCCTCCTGGGTGTCCTGCTCGTTCTCCTCCCTGTTCTTCTCTATGGCAGGCCACTGGAACGGGCACACGGGAGGTGCGAAGCGGGCCGTTGCTGGCGGCGGCGGCGGGGTGGAACACGACGGCAAGGGTACCGGTGGCGGCGATGGCAAGCAGAGTGTCGCTGGGCGCGACACGGGCCTCGCCGTCGGGAGACTCGGCTGCACCAGCGGCGTGGGGAACGGCGGCGGTGCCACCATGAATCACCGGGGCCACGCGGCCGTGGGTGTCGGCGGCGCGAAGTACCCTGTCAGCACGGAGGCGCATGACTAAGAATGGGCTTCGGGGGGTTGAGCTTCTGGTTGTCTCGAGGGGCTATTCTGCAGCCCAAATTGTGTTCATTCGACCGATCCCCACCGAAACCTTCGGCGTTTCTTACCGAATCTGGTGCTACGTGTTGCTTTGGCCAGCAGAAGCTCGGTTCGCATGTCGCGTTTGATAAGACTCCATGGTTCGGTCGCTGCTGCATTATATTATGTCGCGTATAATTTGGTTCAGATCTGTTCTCTACAAATATGGCTGTGTTTCTCTGCTCTGCTTTCGACGGGGTGGCGTGAAGTCTAATCGGTCGTTACTGCGCCTGCTTTTGTCCTGTGGCCAGCCTTACGTCGGCGTGGACGCGGCGTTTGACAGGGCGCCATTAATCTGTCGTTGGTGTATATGACAGCATTCAGCGAATATTATACTGCAGCATGTTCTAGTAGTGTGATACTTTATCTTATCCTGTGTTCCCAGCGGGCTAGCGTGACGTCGTGGCGCCTGTCACGTTAGATACGTCGTCCAATCGGTCGTTGCTGCGCTTATTTCTTTCTGTGGCCAGCCTGACCTCGGCGTGCACGTCGCGCTGACTTGTTTTAGACGGCCCCAAGACGACCCCAAAAAGGCCCAAGAAACGGAGCACGTACAGAAAATCCAAGCCTCCCGGCCCAAGATGCCCCCAAGAGGCCCCAAGGGAGCCCCAAGAAGCTCCCAAGAGGCCCCTAAGATGCCCCAAGAGGCCCTCACTATGCCGAGAAGAGACCCGAAGCGGCCCCACAACGGCCACCAAGATGCTTCGAAACTGCCTCCAAAAGACCCCCGAGAGGCCTCCCACGAGATCCCAACGAACATCCAGTTTGCTCAATACCCACAACCCAGGCACGGTGGCGGGATTGGCCGAATGCCATTATATAGTAACATCAATTAGAAAACCAATTCACGTACATTCAATGGAGACCGTTTTCTTATTCGGCATTTTGACATTGATCGAAGGGGGGGGGGGGGGAGTTGGGAGGTCTGGCTCGGGACCTTTGCTTAATGCGACTGTTTGCAGCAATGCGTCCTATGGGGGAGCCTACTCCTGCTCGAAACAGGCGCCCAGAACAACCAAGATCTACTCCATTGGGGGGGGGGGGAAGGGGGGTGCGAGGGCCCGCGCCGATCGGCAAAACACAAATACACGGCATGATTGAAATGCGAATGCACTTCCAATAGGTTGGGACTTTGAGATCCAACGCTGGATGCTTTCAACGGAAGGCATGTGCCTCTTTCAAGCCGTGTCGTATGTCTCTCGTGCTGCGCAGCCAGACGAAACGCTGATCTCTGAGTCCTTGAATTACCAGGTTGATGCGATGTCGAACTCTTACCCTGGCCACCCGAAGCCCCAGCTTGTTCCTGCGAGGGGCGATGGCGAGAGGCCCCCTCGACAACTCTCCTCCTCATCACACACCCTTCTCTTGTTCATCCTCCGTCGTGCCCTCCTCTTGGTCCTTGTTATCGTTCCAATCCAAATTGGGGGAAACAACGCGTACCGATGACTGCTATTCCCTGCGCCTCCCCCGTTCTGACCGCGATCTCGGTGATAATCCAAACGTAGCGCTGATAGCTTCAGTGTGAGCCGCGGTATTGGTATCTTCTCCTTCTTGAATGAACTGATGCTCGCGCTCGAGCTGCCTGCTTTCAGGGAACAAGAATTGGCAGAAACATGAACCCTCGGAGGTCCGCGCGGAGTCCTCGGATTGGCGCTTGACCTCCCTCCCTCGCGCGCGCAACGCACCTGGGGCGGGGCTGGAGGCGCCGCGAAGGACCCCCCACGCCGATCCGAGGCATCCGCGCGGGCTTCAACATGTGTGTGTGTGTGGGTGTGTTGTTTGGTTCCCTGTGCTCAGAAGTCGGTTTTTCCGCGACCCCGGGCGACCACGGCCCACTCGTCGGGCGCACGGGCCAGCAACACTGCGCCCGCGCCCGCGAACAGCAGCGCCGCCGCCGGCCCTCTCGGCTGGGGGGCACGGCCGCAGAGACGGGGCAAAACGTGTGAGGGGGAACCGCGCCCATCGCGGGAAAGCGGAAGCATCGGCCTGGAGTCGGCGACGCGTCGCCGATCGGTCGGCGATGTGCTCCCGATCGCGAAACCACGCGGCCATGGGCGGGGCGGACCTCCTTAGCCATCCTCCCCCGAACGCTGCGCCTGAGAAAACAAGGAGGAAAGCGGGGGGCCCCGTCGCCGCCACTGTCTGGCAAGGAACTGCAGGTGGGGCGACCGGCGTTGGCAAAGGGGCAGGGGGGGTGCGGGAGGGCCGCGGACGGAAACTGGTGGAGGGGGATCGGGGATAGGAGCCCCAGGGGCCGCCTGATGGGAGGAACAACGAGAATTGGCAGGGAGTGGAAGCATGGGATGGACGACCAGGAAAAAGGACGTGCAGGGGGTAGGATCACGAAATGAACGATGACACGAATGAGATCCAGCAGGGGGATACAAGGGATGGGGAAGAAGAAAAGGAACAGGAGGAGAGGTGAAAAAAGGTGCGTGGTAATATGAGGATACGAAGCAAAGCACAGCGGCGCCGATGATCCGATAACGTACCACTG